AGGTATGCGTATAGTACAGCACGTTTGCTGCATAATGCAATGGAAAGTTAATCGAGATGCTAATTAGTAATTAAGTATGTGTATAGTACAGCACGTTTGCTGCATAATGCAATGGAAAGTTAATCGAGATGCTAATTAGTAATTAGTAATTGCAAATAATCACGTGTTCATCGGAAGAATCTGAAGTTAATATGCTTTTGGGATGAGTCTACGTTCTTGCATCTATTTGTTGCGTCTGTCTTACTTTGCCTCGTTGCTTCGTTCGCTTTCTTTGTCACATGGTGTTCTATGACCGGGCTAATAGGAAGGGATCAGTTCTGCCAATAAGGGAAACGCTTTACTCTACTTCTGTCATGACGTTAGAATGATTGGGTTGGTGAGGATTCGGTCCTACAAGTTTCTCAGACGACTTCTTTTCAGCCACGCATAGTATTTCTCCTGAGAGATTGATTTTTGTATATACGTTAAAACGTATCTTATTTTCAACAATAATTAATTATAACGACAACAACCTACCAATCTCTTTATCCATCTCACAGCCCAAAACACAAACACGGTTGATTAAGTCATTCTTTTGAATCTTCCATCCTGCCAGAATCGAAACTAAGGACTGCACGAAAAACATACAAGTAGTCATGCACACAGCAAGACCATCTGAACGCAGTCGTAGTTTTCTTACAGGCGCCATAGTTGGTATCATGTTGGCTCGGTTGGTGAACGCAACACCTCGGCTAGCCCCGAGGGAAATGTCGGAAAGAGGACCCAACACTGCTCGACTGTTGCTTCACACGTTCGAATAATGCACATCCTCCTCGAATGCTTACGTAGCAGACCCCTCTGGCCCATTAAAAATGCATGCCTGTCCACATCGTTACGATGTGGACTCATTTGCAGGCATCGCTTAGAGGGAAGCCTTTTGCCGCACGTATCCCTCGTTCCTCGCTCGCCGCGGAACTCGTCTTCCTTGCTTAAATAATTTATAGGCTGGATTCGGCGCAGATATCACTTATTACGGGCTCTTCTATGCGTGAAAAATTGATATCGTAGCCGGGGCTCAAAACGTGCTTTGCTCGCCTTTATTTCGACCCCTGTCGTTAAGTGAATATCCTTTCAGGGCCATTCCTTCCTCGTGAATAGCATTCGCGTGCTGTTCCCCGGATAGCGAGATTATGGCGGGCTGGAAGATTAAATGGAATGTTTCATGTTCGAGTTATCGTTGATTCGAGAAATTTAGGAGGTTCACCAAGTGTTCGTTTCTGAGACCGAACCTTCTCAGTCGACTTGGAAATTGCTTTATTCGTTTATTATTGGCATATCGTTACTCGTGGACTGTAGAGGTAAGACTCTTGCGTTAAGGGGTCATAACGCAAAGGAATAGTAGTCAGTGAAAATGGTGGAAAAACTGTATAGATGTTTCTTAAACGGGCCAACGATTAGAGCTGGCCTGCCTGTTTAGGGCCACGCAGGTTACAAGACGACTCCAGAAAATGGGAGACAAAAGGCACGCACTAACAAAAGGCAACAAAAGGGATCGCTCTCACATCGCTAGGATGTATAGTTCATTTTCGTATTTAGTTTTTCTACCACAGATTGTTTTTGAGACGCATCAAATGAATGATTCACCACGTTTAAGGACCTGATAACAGGTATTATTTTGCATTGGTGAATACTGAGAAACGCTTTAGCCCTTGCGGCACGAGCGCCCTGTCCGCCATGACACTCCCGCTGCACGAGACACTCGTGCACATAGGTTATGAAATGGATACCGGATAATAGATCATCAGACGGATGCCGGATAGATCCAGCACTCGTACCAAAGGGGTTAAGAAGGAGCAGAATGGAAAGAAGGAACGGTAACGAAGGTGAAGAGGCAAATCGAGCGAGGAAACTGCACGCGAGAGGAACACTCGTGCACGTTTGTTTAAGGATGCAGTCGATCGGCGAGGTACACGGCTGTTGGCTACTCGATAAAGTAGCACAGCCTGTTCGGTCCCAAGACCGAACTTTCCCAGTCGAGTTGGAAATTGGTTTATTCGTTTATTACCGGCATACCGTGTCTCGTGGACACTCGTGTCACCTGGACACCGTGCGCGTCAGTCCCCAGCAGAGGGCCATAAACACCGCCAGGCGATGGCCACAGCGGTCCCAATTTGTTCGAACATCTCCTACCACCGAGAAACGCCGAAACCAGTACACATCCCTAACAGACGTACACGACCAATAGGAAAACACGCACCCACTACTCACACTTTGCACCATCCGATCGCGACGCACCCAAACTTATAGAAACACTGACACACGTCGGCCAAGCAGATTCGCACGCAAACTCCAATGACGAGGGGACTAAATTGGACCGACGACTTCGATTCGTCTTCGTTATATTTTGTTAAAATCGGTAAATAGCGTTACGATCGATACGTGCCAATTCGCGATTCTCTTAAGCCCCTGACAGGGTCTAGATCGCTTGAGTTTGGTTAGACCGCATCCTTAAGTCCTACAGTCCCTGAGACTCCAATCAAGAGGGTTACAGTGTTTGGGACACATTGAAAGGAAAAATGGCGAAATTGTCGAACAACCATGGAATAAATAATGGAAATCGTTAACACTAAAGCTGTCATGACTGGTCCAATTGATCTGTGATTGAGAAAACGAAAGAAGGAGAATCTTAGAAAAATTGAAATAAGAGAAAATATTGAAGAATTGATTATATATACATATATAGTAAAAGACAAATCGAGTGCGGGATTTTAAATCAAAGGTTTGAAAATTTAAGTCTGAGGCGTGTTAGGTTTAGTGTTAATGAAAAAGAATTTTTTATCATTTTTTTACCTATTTTTATTACGCAGTGTAACATATATTTGATGAAGTATTGAATTTTTATCAAAAATTTTGCAATATAGTTTAAATTTAGATTTATGAAGTGTCTGAACGAATATTAATAGGACATAAAAATTGGTTATTTCCTTCACTCTTTTTTAAAAATTTCAACAATAATTAATATTAAATCAAAATTATTTGCTCTATCAGCATCAGTATGTCATTACCCAATTTTCTGTATTAACTTTTTGTTTCTGTATATATATTTAATTTCACTATGGAGTATGCAAGTTAAAATTGTAAATGTTGTAATAAAAATTCTGTATATCATATCTTTCTATTTTCGAGGTATCGAGATATTCTTAATAGTGGTCGAGATTAAATTTCAATTTTTAATGCAAAATTGTAATTTTTTTGGAAATGTAAAATTTGTTTTGTTTCTTCCGATAAATAGTTAAATACTATTATTGAGTCTAGTGTCGATGTATAGTTAGTGCTTCTATTATTTATCCTATTGCCTTTTCGTTTATTTGTTTCTACTATGATGGGATCTTGAATGAAGCTTTTTTGATTAAAATTTGTAGTTGAATTTTTATCTGCTGTTTAATTTTACAATTTATTGGGACCTATAAAACCATAATATTTTACGTCTTTTACCATCCTTCTGTACTTAAGTTTCTAATAATTAATTAATTGAAAAATAATTGGAAATCTCTCATAAGCCCAATAATTTACAAACATATTTTGAAATGACTTTGTTACACTCGATATTTGAAATTGTTGGAGTGTAACGTAATTGTTGAATACAAATTGTACACGTGAATAGAAATTGACTAAAATTCTACAATCATTTGTCGTATTTTTCATGTTTCAGTTTTCATACTCGATGGAAAAATATTTTGCAATCTTGGAATACCACTGTACACTGTAAAGTAGAATTTTATATGTTATTTATTCCGAAAAGAACTGTCAATATTCGAATCTATTGTTCACGAACAAGCTCTAAAATTCAATAGAATATTTCTACGATTCTTTGTCAAGGGAATGAAGCTACGAATTGTGTAAGATAGATTTTCACGTAAATCGTCTCATTTTGTTCGTCATTCGCAATTGTTACGGATATATTAGCAAGAAACAACGTCAGAAATATGAATTTTATATTGTTCGATGAATTTATCATTTTCATATTGATATAGAACCCACTTCGCGAGAAACCTGTAATGAATGAAAATAAAATTGACGTAGAATATTTTTCCCTGCCAATAATTCCTGCTATCCAACGTCCCATAAGAGTTATTCGTATGACTCAATTAGTCCGTTGCTTGTAACATTATTTGTTATTAATTTCGAATTTATTGCTTAAAAGCAACATTAAGCGCGATCAGTAATTGTTTCATACGAATACAATTTCTCTACATTATGTCACTTTTAATAAGACGGTAATAGTATTGAACGTACGAGTACAAAAATGTGATTTCGTCAGTGTTAATGAATCGTGGCACGAACTGGTCGGTCGAGAATTAACTTCTGTTTACGTGTGATTAACAAAAATTACAGAAGTGAAATTATTAATATTCAAACTTCAATAAAGTTCCAAAGCTGTCACAAAATTATAATATTTCAGTAAGGTATCGATAGTAATCAAATTTTAACAAGTATTTAATGAAACTGTCGTCAATTCTAATATTAAGATTTAATTATTATTGAATGTCACTAAATCCAAAGGCAATATTAAAATTGAACAGCGTAAAAATCAAATTTTAACAATACAAAACAATAAGAATTTAATTATTATTTAATGTCATTAAATCCAAAGGCAATATTAAAATTGTACGAGATAAAAATTAAATTTTAACAATGAAAAATGATTATTGTTTAATCCATAGATGCCTGTTTGCAACACAGTGGATAGATCAAAGATTAGAAAAGAAATTAAGGAAAATATCGAAGATACAAAAATTACAGAAACAATACAAAATTACAAAAACAATATTGGAAATTACAATAAAACATTTATTCCTCATCCAATTATTACAAACACTATTGATTAAAATTCACTTCACAGACTTCACTTGATCACTATAATATCCCTCATTATAACATACATTATTACACCTTTTTCGTGTATCTATTACGTACTAATTACAGTAATTGTAAAGTCTCGCGAAAAGTCTGCCTCGATCCTAATCCGGTCGATGATCAGTCCCAAGTGGATGTATCAGCTTGAACTCGCTGAGGAACTGGATAAGAATGAACGTGAAGTATATAGAGTACAAGAGGTAGGCATACGACTTCCTAGCTATAGACCCTGTGATGTTCAAATAGATAATAGTCGATATTAACGAACAGAGGAGGAAAGCCAAACAACCAGGCGCCATGTCGCTCATTCTCATGACCGTGCGTTTTTGGGGTAGTTTACTGGCTTCTTTCCCATAAGTTAGGCCCAGTCCCAGCAGCGTATTGAACATAGGTCCACCAAAGCAAGCGGCATATCCCATTCGTGGAAATCCTCGTCTGGCTATGGCGACGTTCGATATAAGGTCTGTAAACAGATTTAGTTTGATATGAGTCAATGGCTAACGTGACATGTCAGATAAATAGTCCCCAATCGAGGGAACATCACCCTCGCAAATTCTTTTTAAATATTCAGCAGAACCAGTGTGGAGTTATAAAGTCTGTTTCTTTTATTTATATTTAATAGAATGGCCTCTGGTGAGAAGTAGAAACGATGGCAACATATGGGAGGAATGGAGTTTGGGGAACACTTGGGGTGCAATATTTACGTGCTGTGTCACTACTGAAAAATTTGTCGGGGCAAATGAATTTATTCAATAAATTGATTATTCTATTACAATTTTATATTATTGTTTATTCTGTATTCTGTTCTGATCTGATATTGACGTTCTGCAACTTATTTCTATATATCGAAACAGAGAACATATGGAATAAATTTTGTCGATAAAGATGGAGTTTCGAGTAATTTATTTTTATACTTAAATTTCGATATCTCTGGAAACATAGTCTCAATTCATAAATTAATATCGATAATGTAAAAGTGACGTGAATTAAAATAAAAATACACGTGTAACTAATTACGTTAGGAATATTACACGTGCATTTAGATGTACGTGAAATAATTCGTGGGTACACGTGTTCTTAATGTGACACGTACTTACTTACTGAAGTACGTGTATATGAAATACTCGTGTACGCGTGTATTTAAATATACGTGAAATAAGAATTTCTAATTCCTAGCCCACGTGGTGAGGTTACAGCAGAGTCACTAGGCTTCGCTAGGGACTTCGGTTCGCGAATACATTCGGCGGCGCCACTGTCGTTCTCAAGTAAGTCGTGTCGACATCGACTGAGATTCGAAATGATAGAAAGTCATCTTATATGAATTGTTATTTAGGCTATACAATTTTCTCAACTAAGCGCATCTGGATTTTAATTTCAATCATTTTTCACGATTTTCATACCTCCATATTTCCATTACCTCCATTGTATTTTATTTCTCCAGAAAAAGTAGAATCCTTTAAGAATCTTTCGAGTTAAAAGATATTAATATCGCAAAAATTTAATATTAATATTATAATTTAATAATAATATTAAAATTTATATAGTTATAATTTGACTAGTAAAGTATATATGAATAAAAGTTGTATCTACATATAAACAAAATAAATAAATGGGTAAAATTATATGATGGTATATAAAATAAATGAAAATTAGATATAAAATTTCAATCGATAGTTTCACTTTCTTGGTTTTGCTCTAATCACAAGTTAAACTGGCGAATCTTTGATGGAAGATTGCCAGTGGAACGACCAATATACTTAAGGCCCTTATGGTCGTGACCTTAATGCGCAGCAACCTCCACGTGATGGGATTTAGTAATTGGCATCGTCTTCTAAAGATTCTTCCAAATTTAATATTTCCGTAATCTGTTTGAACTTTTAAAACTTCTTTCTGAGCTTTTAAACTCTTGGGAATGTAAAATGAATGGTAGGTTTTACATTGAGATGTAGATTGCATTATATCAAGTAACGACAAGAATACAAGGTTAAATCCAACGTATTTGCAATTCATTTGAAATTTTAAAAGGTCTCTTTAAGCTCTTTAGACCTAGAAAATATAAAGTGAATAATAGCTATTATATTGGAATTTAAATTAACATACATTAAGCTGGTAGAAAGCTATTTATGAGATCACTGACATAATGCAGCCATGACCACAGCTGTCCATTAAATTTAATAACAAATATGTGCAATTCATTTAATATTTTAAAACTCCTGCCTAAATTTTGAAAATTTAAAAAGAATAAATGAATTGATAAAGCAAGAATATTCTTTATCATTTTAACAGTTATATCATTTTAATTCCTCTCTTTCATTCAATTATTTTCAAAAGAATATAATTGTGTAACAGTTATTTTTATAATTATTTTAATCACCACTTTAAATTTTTCTCTGTATCTCTAACTCTCTTATATTACATTTCATTTAACCTTCATATTTATTTTTCCAGATTATTTTCTTAAATATAACTGTAAATTATCATAATTATTATAATCCATTAGAAATAATCAGTGTATCGTAATTTCAATTAAATATATTTTCAATAGTGTATATCACGTAAAGATAAATTAAAAAAGCATTTGGAGAATTATTTTACTTAAATTTCAACATTTTTCTCAATTATTTATTACTTTCATTTCAATACTTTTAATTATTTCAATTTTACTATTTGAGTAAATTATTTTATTTTAACATTAATATTTTCATAAAACTATTATAATTTTAATTCAAATTCCTAATTCTTATTATTATAGTTCATTCTCTGAATTATCAGTTACCTTATTTTAATATCTTTTTTCCTCCAATTGTAAGGCTTAAAAATTATTGATTAGTATAATTTTAAAACCTTTAGGAATTATTAAGTAGTTCAATTTTTAGAATTTTATGAATCATCAAATTCGCAATTTTTATTATTATAGTTCATTATCTGAATTATCAGTTACTTTAATTTTAATAGCTGTATTTCTCTAATTGTAACGCTTAAAAATTATCGATTAGTATAATTTTAAGACCCCTAGGAATTATTAAATAGTTAAATTTTGACAGTTTTATCGGTTACTTTAAAATTAATATTTTCCTTAATTTAATGTTAACCTTTAAGAATTACCGATTACTTTAATTTTAAATCTTTCGGGAATTATTAATTAGCTTAATTTAAAAGCTGTTACGAATTATTGATTACTTTAGCTAAACAAATTGCAACGCAATTAAAAGCGGTATTCTTCTACTCACCACCTACACTGTTACCCCATGCGAGGAACGTAATACCAAGCATTGCATCCGATATACTGAAAGCGTATCCTACACATTGGAGTACTGCCATCACCTCCCCGGCTATCAAATAGACCATCAGCATGGCAGCCAAGAATCCGAGAAATGCAAAAACCTGCAATTAATTTGTCGCCAGCCGTTATGAGCAAGCGGTTGTATAAGAGCGCAGCCGCTCTGCGCGTAACCTCGACGCGGATGGCGAAAAGGCAGAAAAAGTACTCACGTTATGAAACTTTGGTACGCGATCCACGTGGGTCATTAGAAATACAATAACACCAATTACGCTACCAACCAGCAGGAATATTGGCACCACTGAAACCGGGCCAAAATGCGCTTTCCAAACTGCGGGACGAGGGTGAAAATGAGACGGCAGTCCGTGATGGCTGACCCAAGTATTTTCGACTATTAATGAAAGCTACGAGACTTTTTGTTCACCCTGATAATCGTCGCTCGGAGTAACGAATGCTATCAGTTGTGAACAAAGCGTTTTGATGGAGGACTAATAATGTCGTCTTGTTAAGTGAAATTCTTTTCCTCTCCATTTTGGATTTCAAATTTCATGGTTGGATAACTATACAATTGTTTCGTATTTAATATTCTAAAGTTGGACAGGTGATTAAAGGGGATATGTTATACTGAATACTGGATAAAATATTACTGTTTTATAATGTATTATTGTATTATTGGCTACTTTAATAAATTAATGAAAATTAAAATTTAGTTTGAATAGAAGATTCATTTTGAAGAAATTATGGGATTATAAAAATTGTATACGGGTATATCGAAATGTTAATAAATTTTGTTCAGTGTCGTATGACAGATCTGCTTAGTTCTGTTAATGTTACACTATCAAAAATTTAATTTTCTTTTAATTCTGGCATTAATTTAAAATTATTTTTACAAATAGAGATACGATTTTGAGTAATAAGTCACGTGAGAATTATTAATTAAATATTTTAAAAATTTTTGTGATCTCTGATGCCTTTAATTATTCTGAATTTATAGTTTACAACATGTGCATCAGCTGGGAAAATTTATTGTTAATAATAACTCATTATCATTTCTATATTCGAATAATTATGTGTGCTACATATATAACTAGCAATTTCCATATCTCTAATTTCAATTTTTGTAATAAGTGTTAATAATTGTTTTATGTAATACTTCCAAATATACTTCTTCCAAGAAAATACTTAGTGAACACTAATCTAATAGATTCCAACAAATAACCTAAATAATCAAATCCTAAATCGTAATTAATGAAACAAATTACAAGTCTAAGAAGAAATAAAATACGAAAAACTGATCATGTACATAATAAAAAAATGCGAAATTAAATTACAAAAGTATTAAAATTAAATACAAAATTTTTAATCAATGATTTAAAGCTTCAGTGTTTAATAATGAACCTCCCCAAAATGTCTCTTCCATTTCCAAATATTTTTTTAAGCTCTTATGAACTGCGTTAATATAAAATAATCCTTTGTTGTGAAAAACGGAAATCCAGGACTAATTGAAATCGGTGTGTAAACACCTGTGACAGTCGTTTTAATTTCTACTGAGCGGCATGGCTTGCGCGTTACGAAAAAGCGGAAGCTTATATTTCATCAGAGCTGAAAATATTTCCGCGGGATCTCGAGTTTTTATTATTGCGGGCAATTTATAACGTCGGCCAGTAGAAGTCGCGACAATTAATACAACTAACCGTTTAATAGAAACAACGCCACCGTCGGTGTCACACACAGCTGGAAGCAATTTAGCAGCTTGGACCAGCCTCTCTTTACGGCAGTCGTGTTCACAAGTGGAATAAATAGTTGAAGGAAAATCATGGCTGGAGCACGTATGATCAGAATAAATTTAAATATTCGATTTGCATCAATCCAGTCCTCTTTTCCTACAGGGTTAATATCGTAGAGAAATTCCTTGAAAAGTCCCTTTGGTCGGTCGCCATTTTCCTCGACTGCCTCACCCGGCGCCATTTTGTTGTGCTCCTGCTTCTCCAACTCGACTGCGATAGCGATATCTGATCCGTGCAGAATTTAATATTATTTATATTATTTTATGTTATTTATAGTGCGATTTATTCTTTAAAGGCAGTGTTTGATTAATCAGTAAGTAAAATAAGTAATAAAATAATATTTATAATATTTTAGAGATTATCTGATTTTTTAACGTTAAACCTACCACAGCTTAAATGACTGATCTTAAATTTTATTTATTTTAAATATTGCTTTGAATTATTCTTAAATTAAAAATTTTGCATTCAGCTTTATCGTTTAGTTCATTCCTGTTGAATAATATATATATCATTAATTTTTTAATATCTTTCCTTATTACATTTTTTTCAAGGTTCTTCGTCTTCCATTTTTCCCAAAAAAATGATTATTTAATTGGTCATGGTAGGTTTAGGGTTAAATTTGTTATGTACATACACAGGAATAATGTTACTATGGCAGAAAGATTAAAGGGAATGTTGCATTGGAGTGAATCTTCTATAAGAAAACTGCAAATCTTTTAAGTACTTAGGCTCCCTAAAAGCCTTAATCTGAATTTGGATAAGGAGCTACAATGACATATACATGTATGAATATACGTGTGTATTAAATTATATTAACAATACCAATTTAGTATTAATTTCGTTATATAAATATTTTATGTTAATGTTTTAATTTGCTTTTAATAAATCAATAATAAAATGAATTTGTCAATAATCTATTTTCAACTGCCAATAATCTCATAATAAACGAAAATATGTCACGTATGTAATTCAGTGTCAAGAAAGAACTGCTAAAGATAACAACAAAGTCTTTCTTTGATATTTTGCAATCCACAGGGACGTTGTCTGTAAGAAATGGCATATTGGTGTCAAGTCTCCATGGAGAGGAAGTCAGAAATTGAACCTGCCTTTCTACTTTCGTGTGACACAGCACACAGAGATCTACATTTTTAAAAATCCTTCAAAATCAGTAATATTCCTGAAAAATTAATTTACGTGATTTTCATAATTTCAGAAGTATAACGATTAATAGTAAATCTCTTTAAATAAATACATAACTTATTTGGTCCATTTTCTAATTCCTGATTTCCCACCGTGACAATTTTCTGATATAATTATTCACAATTATTGCAAATATAACTTTTAGTTATCCAAAAATTATATAACAGGAAAAAGATATTAACCCTTTGCACTCGATGATCTTTTCGTTACAGAAACATAGTAATTCGAAGACTTTCTGCCATAAAGTCGACGATATTTTCAAAACGGTAAATAAGAAATCGTATGCAATTTAACCCTTTGCACTCGACGAGTTTTTCGTTGCAGAAAAATAGTAATTCGAAGAATTTCTGCCATAAGGTCGACGACATTTTTGAAACGGTAAATAAGAAATCGTGTGCAAATTAAGACGTAGAATTATTTTTCTTCGACATCGCATGAATTGTTGGGTAATTTAAAATTTGACGTATTAATTAACGACGATCCTTAGAATCTGATTAACACGTTCGTCGTCCAACGCGATTCGGTTCAGTTTCTTAGAAGACCCAAATTCAACTGTCGGAGCGCCAGACTGAACGTTATCGAGCTGATGATTTGGATGCATCTAATACAGACACCACTCGTGAGATGTTGGTCAACGGACCCTATTTACAATTTTCCATTTCCTGTAATCGTTTTGTATTACTATCAGCAAACTTGCATCCTTAGAATCTGATTAAATGGAGACTGAGAGTCGCCTCTCGAGTGCAAAGGGTTGAAAAGGTAGTAAGAAATTACACAATCCTCAACAAATTTCAACCAAACCCAGAGTACTACATAGCATCTACAAACCTATCATCACATCTCAACCAATCTAAGAATAAAAGACACCATTGGTGTCAAAATTCCATCAAAATGACTTGTCCAATCGTATCTGAAGAAAGTCTAGCAAATCTAAAGATAAATCACGAAATCAAGCTTCGTACCCAGCTTTGTTCTCAGCCCAGAAGCACGAGTCCTCACGGGGATGTTGGGTACGGTGGCCACGTCCTTGTTCGCCAAGTAAGTGCGCAAGATGTCTGGATCCGGCACGCCAGGGATCCTGCCTGCGAAAGAGTGCATAAGGAAACGTTCGAGGCACAGGATCGATAACTACACTTGCGTAGACAACCCTGTTCCTGTGTCTCCGCGAGTAGAAGGGATTCGTTTCGAAATGCTTTCAGACCTTGCACAAGCTCGCGTAATGTTTAGCCTTGGTTGCATACCGAGCACCGAGCGTAACAAACACTGCACACGCTGCATGCCAAACAGTGGCTTAGCAGCGCTCAAACACGGTTCCTTCGCGTGTTACTTCTCTTATAATACGACATATTGCTTCTCGTCAACTTGTCCTTCCATGGAATCAATTTTATTAAGACGATATTCACTATTCGCTTCAATCTTATCGATAATATCGCAGATTCTCGCGATCTTGGTGGCCTAACATTCGTAGCAAGAGTTCCCTAAGTGAGGCAAGAATCTCTTTCGTAATGACATTTGTTTCGGTTCTAACCAAGTGTAAGATCCTTTCTTAGGTCTAGTTGGGACTGTCTAATGTCAGACCAAAAAACATCAATCTTTATACCAACTCTCTGATAATAGGATCATCTCGGAAGACATATTGAGAAAGTATAAGATTGCTGCGACCAATGTTCACATTTTCACCGCTAGATGGAAACGGAGATTCGAGGTTTCTCGCAAGTCCTCGGTGGATCCTCGACTTCCATAAATAGAAGTTCTTTTTCTACTTAAGTATCCCCTGTGTAAGGTTGGACTTGCTAGAAAGCTTTTGACGTGTCCACTAACAGTCCCAGGATGAAATGCATCCCTTCCTTTGAGTCCTTTTACCTACTACACATCATAGCAAGATGGCCACCAAGGTACCAACTGGCAGTACCGTAGGAACCACAAGAATTTTACAAATCATACCACCATGGGGGAACCCCTCACTAGATCTTTCGTGAATTATAAGAGGAACTCATATGACCAATGAATTGGATTCAACGTGACTTGTTGAACAAACGAACTGGGTCACATCAAGATTTGTACAACCATTCGATTATGGTCTCATCATTAGAACTTTCTTGAAGCTCTGAGGGAGTTACAGACTTTAATTCTAGTACTGTTGGTCAACATTAGCAGAATTCGAACTGGATCATAACAATTGAGTTGTTTACAGTTCCAATCAACAATAACAATTACTAAATACTGTTTAATACATGAAATATTAGAAAAGGAAGCTTGACCTTTTCACGAACCATGATTGGGAATGTCCAGCAACGAAAGAACCCATTTAAAATTCACATCATACAACACTGATTAATCCTTCAACTCCCAATTTCTTCTAAATACCTCATAATATTGTACACCTACTCTAGATTAGATTTATCACCATTTCTATCATTTACTTGACTGATCGCGCCACCCATACGTTTCTCTGCATCGATCAAGATGTCCACGAAGAGCACAAAATGGAATATTCAGAAGTCAGTACTCCGGTCTCAGAAGTCATTACTGATAATTGTGGCGCGACAATGACTGACTGAAGTATAATACGCAGTGACTTGTAATTAAAGTATGAAAATCAATCACTGCCTTCCGACATCTGACAACAAATTACTAATAACAAATAATTCAGAATGAAACTCAGAACTTGGCACACAGAATTAAGTTCTCAGAACACAAAACTTCAGACGTAACCGAAAATTAATTATCAATATCTAACACTAAATAACATACAAATACAAGGAATTAATAACAAATAACTAAAAATGAGAAACTCGGAAATCAGAACTCACAGAGAATTTTGAAGCGAGAGCAATTAGCTAATGAGCAATATTAATGAGTAATTAGTAACTAATACTTAAAAACAAATAGCTGTTCATAAATGTCTGACAACTCAGAACTCAGAACTCAGGAATCAGATCTGAGAACTGAAACCTCCGGACTGTTGAGCCATCGCAATTCACATGTAAACAAGACGTATGTTATCGGAGAACGAAAACAAGACGTGTATTAACAAAGAAAATACGAATGGATGAAATTGAGTAAATATTTGTCCAGTTATTTTTCATCGGAACGTGTACCATCAGCCATCCTCTACTCGCACTGTGTCTACCTAGCCCGCGAGCCTTAGCCAAAGCGTCTCTCCGTTCTCTCTACCAATGCCAATACTAATAACCGTGGTCGAATACGTAGTATCGTTTGCTTAATTGAACCGTGTCTTCACGCTGCTTTCAATTCATGCCTCTTTCCTTCGCATTTCCATTTTCCAAGAGCAACATCGCGCGGTCGCCGAGTTTCCAGAGTTTAAATTACAGGCGGGGTTATTCTTTTGAAAAGGTTTGCCCGTGGTTCGATACGAGAACCCTTTGTTTCGCGCGGGAAATTCTGGAAAAGCCCCTTGTCTTCCGGCCTGGTTTCGGCTACAGTGCTGGTTGAACGACGCTTTGTCAAGCGTTTCGAAATGCCACGCAAGCCGTGAAACGCACTTTTTAGCCTCTCCTCCCGGTTCTCGTATATCTGCATTATCACCACCACGCTGATGAACAATAGGTAGTAGAGAACAAAGCCTGTAATTAAAATGTATCAGCATTAAAAAGCATTACCGTCGTTTTGGACGTTGCAGGTGCGCGGGAAAAGTCAGCGGTAATTAATCGCGGGGCAAGGAGCGATATGACACGGGAAAACTTGCGGCGCCATTGTAAATCTCTTCTTAAATTAGGGTACGGTAAAAAGGAGTTATTAATTTTGCTTGTTTTTGCATCGCCGCCAGCCGGATGTTTCATTTGCGCCGGTTACGCTGGCAATTATTTCGCAGGAAAAAGGTTCGTCGCGGAACAGGTGCACGATGTTTCGATAATTAGCGTTCATTTCCTCGCTCGAGGTCCTTCACTTTTGTTCGGATAAGTGTTTCTTTCAACGACAGAGAATGGTAATAATACTACCCCTGGCAAGAAATTTTTGCTCAAATACTATAACAAAATTATTTTAAATTACTGCGACTTTTTACATAGAAACAGATGCAATGTTGGTATAAAACATTAGGGGCGTTAAATCGAGTTTTGTTTAATTTCTATGAGAAAATGATTTCTATTTATTTCTTATGAGTACAGGTAGTCCTCCTACAACACGGCATCTTATAACATGGTTTCTAACACAATAAGAGAATTGCAAAATCCTTTGTACAATAGTGTACTTCTACATGAGCAGTGACGACGAAGAAATTTATTAAATTAAAGTTGCGTTAAATTAAAATAATATTTTTGTTTTCTTTTTGTTTCGTATTGTACATACGTTTATATTTTTAATAAAAATTAAGTTGTTCATGTAGAATTAAAAAAAAAATTGTTTTTAGTATGTTTTCGGAACGTAACCTCACTTTTTGTACTGCGTCTGGGTCTCATACAACACGGTTTCACACAACACGGCATTTTCTGGGAACCTATCTACCGTGTTATAGGAGGGTCACCTGTATTAATTTTTATTTTATGAGTATTAATTTTGTTAGATCGAGTTGTAATTATAAATACAATAACAAACGAACAGATATATATTTGATGATAAATTCATTATGAGAATGGCCAAGAATTCTTTGTCAGGAGTAGTAATAGCAGTAGAATGATGAGATGTTTCAAAATTCTGGTCATTTTGTATTGACTGAAGTCCCTTGACAGGAAGTCAGAGCAAAACAGAAGAACAATTTAAACTTTTGTTTATTTTCTATTAGGAAATAGTAAAGGAATAAGTATTATTGAGGTCAGCCAAGAACCTTTTGTCTGGAGTATTAATAGACTGATAAGATGTTTCGAAATTCTGGTGATTTTAGATCGACTGAAGATCTCTGTCAACTTTAAATAGATACAGAAAGAGGCTTGATAATAGTACAGCGGTTGAATGGTTTGGTAATTAGCATTAATTACCTTCTGATTCAGAATGCCTCTCCGTTCGTCGAATTATAGATACAGCTCCTAGCAGCTAATTGTATGAAACTGTATGATGTAACTATAATTGGAATTATCAGTTTGTCAATGATTTTTTGAGGATTTAAATACACCGTCTATCATAAGACCAGGCACCTTTTTTTGGGAAGTGAAATAATTTTTGTAATAACTCTTTTGATAATTAGCATTAATCAAGTGGAAGAATTACTAAATTATAGGCTATTACTAGCATATATAACGTATTTGCGTGAAAATGTATCTATAACTAGCAAAAAGTTAATAAATTACCACATTTATTGTTAATAACAAATATTTTGCAACGTATATTAACGATAAAAGTGAAAAAAGTTAATAAATTATCAGCTACTACTTAAACAAACAACGTATTTGTGTTAAAATGTATCCGTAACTTACAAAAAGCTGACAAATTAATAAATTTATTGTTAATAGCAAATTAAAATTGTTAATAACAAATATTTTCCAACGTACATTAACGATACATGTAAAAAAAATTAATAAATTATTAGCTACTACTTAAACAAGCAACGTACTTGTATTAAAATGTATTCGTAACTTACAAAAAGCTAATAAATTAATAAATTTATTGTCAATAGGAAATTAGAATTGTTGTTAACAAATAGTTTGTAACGTATATTAACGATAAAAATCAAAAAAGTTAATAAATTATTAGTTATTACAGCGGAAATGTAACTTTTAAAAGAATCGGTAAAGTTCGGAAATTTTCGCCGATCTTCGGCCGGCCGCCGCTATATAAGGGGCCCGCGTGAAGGCTCGAGCCAGTTGTCGGTTCGACTTCGGAGGGTCCGCGTTAATATTCTTTCTTTTTGTTTCAGGTTTTAATTATCTTTCTTTTTTTTCAGATTC